GAATATATATATATATATATATATATATATTGAAATATATATTGTATAAATAATATTTAGATATTAAATAATATTTAAAATTTACTTTACAAAGATTACTAAAGATAAAAAATTTGATTATGAGTATATAAATTTGATTACAACTTATAAATAATAAAAATTAAATAGAGAAAAAGATGGATAATAATAATTGTTTTTTATCATATTTTCAAAATATATTAAATAATTGATACATTAAATTTGCCTTTTAATCTAATTGTTTTTTTATATATATTTATATATTTTATATATTTAACAATAAAAATGCAAAATTTTTGGATCTATTACGATCATTGTATTGAAACTTTGTATAGATGTGATTCTTGAGATAATTTTAAGCGATATTTTCTTTTGCAAAAATTTTTATTTTGACTTTATTTATAACTTACTAACAAAAAACATTATCAATAAATTTATACATCTTATTATTTATATTACTATTTTTTTCTCTATCAAAATTTATAATTGTCATAAATAGCATACTCATAAAAAGAAGTAAAACATTAAAATAAAAAATTTTTAAATTTTACTAAATGTAATTTGAACAATAATAAAATAGTAATTATTATTTAATACTAAATAATTTTGTACTCATGCATATTATATTTACATTAACACCATAAACATCACATATCAAAGAACTTCTCCTTCGAGATACATCTATTATCGTTTCTGGATGAACCGTTTGAGGACTACACGATACAATACTACAAAACGCATCTTGATAATCAGTTTCACTCTCGTTCTCCCATTCTTCCTCCTCCAAAGGAATTTCTCCACTACCAACCTAAAAGAAAATGTCTACTAGACTATAAGTGATAGTTGATCTATAATAGAAAATAATAGATAAAAATTTTCAAATTTTATTAAAATTTCCCAAATTTAATAAATCTTAATTTTGAAATTTTACAACTGAAATATATAATTTTTTAATTGATGTTTAAAAATTTTAAAAATAATTAATAAAATTTTTAAAATTTTTTGTCTCATGTAATCTGGTTTTTTAATCATAAATAAATTAATATTATTAAAATTGAAAATTACAATTACCTTTGTAAAATAATGTACGCCAGCAAATTCTAATAACGTAGCAATACAATATCCAAAACTCATTAATAAAAACCAATCGAGAGCAGTGGCATATCTAACTTTTGGTAAATCTGTTCTGGAATCCAGACTAATGGTTGACAATGTCAAAACAGTAGTAATACCTGTAATATTTCATCGAATAATCACATATTATGCAATCTAATTATACGATTTAAAACTAATTATATATTATATATGAAGTATCATATGAATATGTATATAATTATCAAATATCATAATTTTTTATATATAACACGAAATTTATCTTTCATAATTGTCTATAATATAAAATCTTATTTTTAAGATATTATAAGTTTAAATGATTTTTAAAAATATAATTAGATCAATGAATTCGTTTCGAACTGGATTAAAATAAAATAATGCTTTAATAAATATAAATTTATTTTAAAAAGTAAAAATTATCTTCAGATTTTGGAAAAATCTCCAAAATAAATCTGATGATCATCATAATATTCTTATAACAGAACAAGTTTTATACGAAACTTTTTTTTTGAATAATGCATAATTTAAAAGATAATATGCATAGATAAAAAGAGATAGATATAGAAGATATATACTTCATATATTTCTTATCTTAAATACCAGATTAAATAAATATTCTTGCATATTTTTTAATTTTTTTTAGTTTTAAAAAATTAAATTTAAATTATTTCATTGATTTTTGTGTATACTTTAGTCAATGATATTTTTATTTTGTTCGATAAATAATTTACCTAGTCCAACTCGATCGCTGGTAGCCTCGCGATGAATCCAAAAGGATACCCAACTTAAAACTACTATTAAAACACAAGGTACGTAAACCTAATAAAATCATAGGAAAGATGATATTAAATAAGATAACAATTAAATAAAATTATAAATAAACTGATTTACTTGAATGAGAAAATAGCCGGTGTGTCGTTGCAAATTAAAGGATACTTGAAGAACCGAAAATTCACCTTCCCGACGGACGAATGTTAAATTTCTGTATGGTGAACCCATCAGGTCGAATTGTGAAAGAGCCATTCCAGGAACAAAATTAACCGAAGAGCCCTCCTGCCATTCATAAATTAATTGACCGGATGTATATGCATCTAAAAATAAACAAAAGAAATATTTTGACAAAATTTTTGCGATTAATTAAATATAATACAGTAACTTTAGTGATTACATAGAAAGAGTAAATAATAAAATTTTGTTATAAATAATCATTAATTGTTATAAAAATAAATAATTTATTAAAAATAAATAATGGTTCTATTTCCTATTTTCATTATGGATAAAGGAATTAATTTAATTTAATTTCAGGAAAACTAATGAAAATATAAAATATATTTTATAATCAAAAATATTTTTAAAAAATAAATATTAGTTAATGATAATTAATGAGAATTATAAAAAGTATTATTATATATATTTGATGTAAGTATTTGATATAAATTTGATATATATATATATATATATATATATATATACATATATTA